TGTTTGGCACAGGATAAGCACTCGGTAATTAGATATGGAAAGAAAAAGTGAGGGACAGAAGAAGGCCGGCAAGAGGCAGAGCTCAGAGGCAGAGGAGGCAGGGAGGGCTCAGCCTGCAGAGCCCAACGAGCTGGGCTGGGATCTCAGCTTTGCCCCACACCAGCCCTGGTACTGGGGCAAATTCCTTGCCCTGATGGGTGCCAGTTTCGCAGTCTACCTGATGGGAGGGATCACACAACCCCCACTTCATAGGATTGCTGTGAGAACTGAACGCTTATGTATGTACTTTGGTCTCGGCATTTGGAAACCCATCTGATTTTCTCGAATCATGAGCTGTCATTCATCCTATATAGGGAAACCTTGCTGGAGATTTTAAGATCAGGGAAAACTACAGGTTCTGGAAAGACAGACAGATCCTAGGTGTAAATGTCTAGGATGCTCCTGTTGACCCTTGGCCTCTCTTTTCCTTGCAGTTGTTTACACAGCAGCTGTTGTGACCCAGAACTGTGCCCGGTGTGCCAGGGGCCAGGGAAGATGATGAGTTCGACTCTTGGGGATCTGGGGTCCAATTCGGAGGAGGGAGGCAGAGTCTCCCTGGGGCTGAGTTTCTCGGCTTCCTACTTTCAGAGACTCTGATGAGCAGGCATGAGAATTGTATTTTAAAGTTGTTTTTTTTGGTACTGGGAATCAAACTCATGACCTTGCACATGCCAGGCAGGTGCTTATGCTGCTGAGCTATATCCCCAGCTGTAAAGTTTATTTTACATTACTGCAATGCGCATCAGAGGCTATGAATCCCAGAAGTCTTTGGGGGGAGGAGATGAGGCAACAGGAAAAGAATGGATAAAATCTTTTATTTTTTTGCTCATTCATTTGCTCATTTATTCAGCTCTCATTTATTGTATCCTCAGCCCACAGCCTCAGGGATCCCAGAAGCCTGTGCCTGATATCATATATAGATTGAACAGCAATGTCCCTCTCTGGAGTTCTGGCTTCTCCATCGAGCATGTACTCTGTGCCAGGCAGAGCACACTCATAATGAAGCCCTTTGAGCCAAGCATTGTCATCTTCACCATTCAAGTGGGACAATAGGGACTGGAACGTCAAGTGACATGCTCAAGGCCACCCAGGTATGAGAGAGACAGGATTCAAACCCACCTGACTCCAAAGGTTTAAGTTTTTAAATTGGAAAATGTGGATCACAGAAAAGAATTTGATAACATGCATTCTTGACACAAAGCTTAGTAGCAAAGTCAGCTCATGACCTCACTAAAGGAACTGGCCATTTCCAGTATGGTCCAGTCCCCTGCTTACCCCATGCTGACCCCATCCCTAGCAGTCACTATCTACATTTGGGGTTCATTGTGCTGTTATGTTTTCAGTTGTTTCAAACCCCCATGCTGCTGACACACTGGTGTGAGGAGGAGCCGTTGTCTATGTGGCTTGGGGCTTCTTGATTGTTACTTGGCACGGCTCCTTCCATGGGTCACTGCCTTCAGGTGCTTCTGAGACTCTCCCAGCGGATGCGCATGGCTTTGGTTCCGCTGCTGGGGAATGCTATTGCTTGAATGTAGCACATTTTATTTACCCAGTTTCTCCTGCTTTAAACACCACTTGACTCTGTTCTCTGATGCACCCGGTAGTGTTGAGTAAATGCAGGGTGGGTTTCCAGGCCCAGGGGGCCTGTTTGGAGCACACTGCTCCTCACCCAGCCAAAAGGAAACACCAGTTTACCTCTAAACTGGGTGAGGGCTTTGAGGGGCCAGTGTCAGGTTAGGAAAGGGGATTTCAAGGTGTCGAGCGCTTGGCCAGCCCTGAGATTAACCTTGGTAAACATCTAAGCACAGTCACTTCTACGGCACTTTACGGGGCAGCGCACACACTCCAGAGTTTATCTTCGGAATCGAGCCTCCCAGGCTGGAAACACTTGCTGCTGTTGACTGACGTCCAGGAGAGACTTGGCTTCCTCCGACACAGGAGACCCGCAGAAGAGTAAGGTGATCTCACCCCACCCGGAGACTTGGCACCTGCCCCAGGGCACGTGGGTTTAGGGGATTTTCAGGCCTCGTCCCTTGCTGGCAACAGATCCCCAGTCTGCCTGTCACGCTTCAAGGGTGCGCGCTGTGGGCGAGCAGGAGAGCTCGGCCCTGCTTAGATCACCTCCTCTGCCCCTCTTCTCTCCTCTCCTCCCTTCTTCTGCCAATATTTAATTTCCTTCTTTTAAATTTTTGGTTGAGTAATCCAAAAGAGTTGGAAATTAAAAGTGTAAAACTATAGAAGGAAAAACTTTCGCTTGCTACTGACTCCCACTTTCTCTATCCCTCCCAGGAAAAGTGACCACTGTTATTCATTTCTCTTGCATCTTTCTAGAGTTTTCTTTATATAGAAGCAAAACTGAACAGAAGGTCTTGTTTATGAACTGATCAGTCCCATTAGAGAACTGATAACACGCACATGTGATTCTGCCATTGTCTTCTCAAATCGCAATGCCTCCTAGAGAACTGTTTCATAGACCACTTCGTTATTCTTTTTAAGTTGTCATGTAATGTTTTATTGTATTTCACTCTATTTATTTATCACCTACTGGGCACCAGTCTTACATGGAGTGCTGGGCATACAATGATGGATCCAAACAAGTCCTGCCTTCAAGGAGACTACAGTCTAAGCACAATAGACAAACAATTCTTATAAGGTTTTGGATACTATTTGCTCAAAAACATTTATGGAGCCCCAGTTGCTCTGCATGTGGGAAGGACAGATGGTGAAACCCGAGCAAAGCCCAGCCCTCTTCTTGTGATGGTGTGAGCTGACCGAGGAGGGCGAGTGTCTGGCTGAGGGAGCGTGTGGAGGGCCCCTAAGCAGATCTGGGGCTCAGGGAAGGCATACAGAGGAGGTGAGGTCACAGCTGATGATTGGTAGCCAAGGAGGGAATTACCCGGGCTGGGCCCATGCTCCAGGATAGGGGTGGGGGCAGCCAGCCGGCCCACCACGGGAGCGGGAGGAGTGCATCAGCCCTCCAAGTGAGTGACACCCTCAGGGAGCAGAGGCCTGGGAGCAGTCTGTGCCTGGAGGGAGAGAGAGAGGCTGCAGACCACAGACAGATTTGGCCACAGGGACAGCTGTTGTGTGCAGTGGTGGGGGAAGGACACTAGGCAGGCAGGAGGCCACAAGGAGGACATGGTACTGTCTGTGAGAGGCCTTCACGCTGCCTGTTGGGGGGAGGGAGGGAAAGGAGGGAAGAATTTGGTGTGGTGTGCGCTGAGCGGGAAGAGTCCCCTCCCCTGTGGGATGCATTGATGCCAGTGAGGAGTACAACTGGCCCAGCTTCTTGATGTCTTCATCACCCCACTCTAGTCCTCTGTTTCCGGGCTCCACAAGGGCCAGCTCCTTTCCAAGACCGCTTCCTTCCCATGGTGCATACACACACCGAGCACCTATACATGGCACACACACGCGCGCACGAATGCATGCCCTGCCCTGTGCACTACACATCCACCCCTCCTTACCCCCACACACTACATACTGCACACTCATCCTACATACACACACCACACGTGTGCACCCCACTCAGCACAGGCTATGGCTCTCCACCAAGCTGAGCTCCCTCCAGCTGGTCCTCACCCCCAGGAAATGTCCCAGAGGGGCCTCTGATGGATGTAGCTCACCGTGGCCACCTAGCTCAGGTTTATCTGGTGATAAGATTTGGTTCTGCTTTTCCCCAAGCCCCAAGAGCACGTGTCACCCTGCGCCTGGCCTAGTTCTCTTCTCCAGCAGCGGGTAGCCTCCTCCTGCCAATGCCTGGGCCAGCTGGGGTGAGCACCAAGGGCCAGTGTCAGACTGGGGAGTCCGTCCGACGGGGTGCTAGGTGTCCCAGTGCAGGGTCCTGTGTGGACCGCTTGTCTGCTCATTAGCTCTGCTCTGAGCCCTTGCTGGTGTGGCCCAGGGCCCCATGTCCCATTGGCTTCCAGCCTCAAAGAAGATGGAAAATGTGGGAGTGGGCCTGGCCACAGTCTCCACGAGGCTGTGCCCCATCAACACATCATTTTTCTTTGAGCTCCAGGCCTCTCTGTCTTTGTGGAGGACTTGGAAACTCATAAGGGCACAGGTCCCACTTCATGGATAGTGACCTGCCTGTCTTCACGGTGGCCAACCTTGACTGACACTTCTGTGGTTGCCATCTTGAAATTCTTAAAAGCTTTTCAAGGGGACCCCATGTGTTCAGTTTGTACCAGACTCTGCACAGGAGTGCAGAGTCTTATTGTTAGCTTATTGTTTTTCCGCCCCTTTGTATCTTTTGCATTTTGAATCATGCAGGTGCAGTGTTTTAAAAATTAAAAAGTAAATTTGGTCAAAGAGGCTACATCCCAAGAGCCCAGTAGATGTCTGAAACCATGGATAGTGACAAACCCCATAAATGCTGTGCTTTCCCCTATGCTTACCTACCCATGATGATGTTTCATTTATGAATTAGGCACAATATGAGGTCAGGACAACCTAACAGTGTGCTGTAGCAGGGATATAGCTCAGTGGCACAGCACCTGCCTGGCAAGCGTGAGTTTGATTCCTGGTACCAAAACAAAAACTGAAAACAAAAAATATACTGTAATAAAAGTTGTATGAATGTACACTCAAAATATCTTATTATGCAATACCCAACCTTCTCCTTGTAGTGATATGAAATGAGGCATAACCTCTGTGCTGAGGAATGACGGGTGACAGAGCTTGTGACACATTAGGCTATTCCATAATCGTTGCCTGAACACAAGCACGTGATATACATGGCAGCTGACCTGATAACCAAGGCTGTTACAAAGTGACTAACGGGCGGGTCACATACCCAGTGTGGACACGCTGGTCACTGTGGTAGGAGATTTCACCACAATACTCAGAATGACAGATGATTTAAAATTAACCATTTTCCTCTATTAAAATTTTTAGTCTACAATTGACTGTAACTGGAAACTGCAGAAAATGAGACGATGGACAAAAGGACAATACTGTTACCGAAAGGATAAAAACACAGCACATATTTATTAGTGCACATTTAGAGATGGTCCATATGTCCACGGTGGTGCCTGAGCTGCTGGGTACACACCAGCGCGCTTGCAGAGTGCAACCCCGTGACGGCGTGCAGCTGGTCTCTGGGGGCTCCTGGGACACACAGACAGGTGTGCTGCGGCCCACGCTGCCCATGCCAGCCCCACACTGCGCGCAGGATGAGTCAGGTCAGATTCCACAGCTGGGGCAGGGGCTCCTCGGTCCCCTTGCTGGTCCCTCCTGATTCCCCAGCTTCTAGGCCAGGAGCCAGGAGACACTAACCGGCAAAGCCATCGCCCCCAGTGCTGCCTGCCCGTCTCTTTTCGCCTGGGCCCTGTCTGCTCCCTCTGCAACCAGAAGAAAAAGCAGGCGATGGCCTCAGAGTCAGCACAGTCAGAGAATCCGTGGCTCTGGGCTTCTCACTCCGGCATCTGTCTCTGATTCTGATTTCTTGCCCCAGTCACCTATATCGCAGGTTTTGCTCATTTCTTACTAAACTTAAGGAACTCGAATTCTCTTGGCTCGTGAATCTGAGCGGAATGTGCTCGGACCTGCACGCGCTTTCCGCACCAGCGGACAAGCCAGCTTGAAGTGCGGGTGGAGCGGTTTCCGCTCAGCCTGGACGCGATGGGGCGCTGCTGCCCTCTGGTGGCCAGACGGGAGAACATCGTAGCGCCCTTTAGCCGGTGGGTCCCCTGCCTGTCACTGGGAGGGCAGCTTTGAGTCTTCAGGAGAACGAATGTCCCTTCACTGTTCCCGGAGCACAGCAAGCTGTCCTTGCCTTAGGGTCTCCGCCTTGCTATTCCCTCCCTCTGAGATACTCTTCCTAAAGCCCTCGGTTCAAACACTCCCTCTTCAGGGAAGCCCTCCTGGACTTCATCCCCGCTCCTGTTGCTCATGTGTGAACTGGCCCTTCCTGTTGCCTATTCCTCACCAATTGTAGGCTCTTGGAGATAGATAGGGGTCTGGGGTGTTTTATCACTGGACCTCAGTGCAATGAATATAGCACTAAAATACCCCCGAAAGGAGTAAATAAATGCATATCATAGCAACAACAGCAATGAGAGTTAAGTACAGCTTCTGGTCCTCAAATTACACCCCAATTGAGAGATGAGCAAACTGAGGAGAAATATATGTGAGCTGCCTCAGCACCAAACAGGCACAATGAGCAAGTCTCTGGCAGCTTCTCCTACATCCCCTCAGTCCTTCACCAGCATCTGCCGGTGTAGCCAGGCCCTGCTCCTCGACCCGGGGTGCTGAGGGCGGCTCTGCGACACCTGCTCACAGCTTGTGGTGAGGGGAGGAGCCAGTCCACAGGACTCCAAAGGTCTTGGGGCTGTATGCAGGGGTGTGCGTTCTGTAGCAGGACTGTGTTTGGGAGTGGCGGCTGGCAAGAGTCTGGAGCTGCCCAGCAGGATCCCCCTGAGCTGCTCTGCTCTTCCTCTGGGTCCCCGGAGGCCCAGCCCTGGCTTTGCTGGAGTCAGCCTCAGGCAAGGCCAGGTGCTCTGGTTCTGAGTCCAGCGATGCTTATGGACTCTGGCCGCAGGGCCTCAGCCTCGGGCTGGGTGAAGGCAGGCAGTGTGGCAGGAGGCAGGAGGGCCGGACAGTGGGTCCAGGGCGGTTCTGTCCCTGGAGTGCGCAGTGGGAGTTGCTGTCAGCAGCAGCTGCTCTTCGCCTGGCTGGGCGTGAGCTTGATGGAGTCTACAAGGTGATTCTCCAAGATGCCGCGATACTGCAGGAGGAAAAGAGCAGTCAGCGTCCGAGGCCTCTGACTCTGGAGCATGCCCAAACGCTGCTTCTTAAAGGCCTGGAGGTTGGGTGAGTCTTTCCTTTCCCAGGGTACAGTTGGGAAACTGAGGTCCAGCAGGGAAGCTGCTGTCTTCCTATCCCACCCCTTCCTGCCTCCTTTTCCAGGAGCCTGGAGTAGTTCTGAGGCCAGGTTGGGAGCTCAGCCCCTGGGCTCCAGCAGACAGGACAGCAGCCCACTCCTCGCTCCCAAGGCCCCTAGCCTTCTCTTCATCAGGGCCAGCTCCCAGCCTCCTTTCCCCCAGCCAGGCCTCCTTCCTTCCTGATCCAGGATGTGTGCCCCAAACTGCCCTGTCTCTGCTCCTCTGCTTGCTCTCTAAACTCTCCCAGCCCAGCGAGAGCCTGGAGAAGACTCCTTATCTGCCCAGCCTCTACTGGGGAGCATCCTGGCTCACAGATTGTAGACCCATTCCAGGTGGCCCAGGGTTTCCCCAGCTGCCACCTGGGACCAAGCTGTCTCCCAGGGAGCTTGAGACAAGAGAATAGGAGAGCATGGCTCCTTCACCCTGGCACCACCACCCTGCATGTAGCCCTGTTTTCTGTCTGTTTCCTTCTGCTCTGGCTTGGTCTTTTGGACCTGGGGGCTGCAGCTTCAGGGCTCCTGAGTGCCCCAGCTCATCTACACGAAAGGACCGGCAGAGACCCCAGAACCCCGAGCCCATGGAGTCCACCTTTGGGAGAAGTCAGGTGGAGGCACTGCAGGAACAGATGGGATGCTGTCCTGGCAGGTGTGAGGCACTTCCGGGTTTGCTAGCGGGGCAGAGTTGGACTGCTTCACGCTGCTTCTCTTCAGAATAGTGGTCTCTTCCCAGAGCAAGTCAACCCTGAGCTCTTTCCACTGATGGCATCCCTGTCATGTGACAGTGGTATCATTTGCTCCTAAAGTTTCCCACAAGCTTTAACCTGCGGGCTGCTCTCAGGTTCCCTGTGCACCAGTCTCACCCAGGCCCCTGGCAGCTTGCACATCAGCTGTGAAGTGACACAGGGATATGCTGATGTGTGTGTCACTTTGGTTGGGTCCTCATTCCAGCCTGGTCATCTGGGTGGTCTTCTCTTTAGATCTTACAACCTGAGGGTCTCCCAAAGGTGCGCTGACTTCACTGAGCAGCCACTACCCAGCCTGTTTCCTCCTGGCTGTTACTCTGCAGTCAACCTGGAAGGAACAGGCCTCCCTGACTGACCTCAGCAGGATGGCATTGCTAAATTTCTAAGAACAAAAGCCGCCCCCCCGACCATCCTACAAAGCTAGCATGTGTCCCTCCTTCAACTATGAAGATACTCCATGTCATATTCTGGAATAACAAAACACCTTAATCCTTGAACAGGGCCATGCTGGGACATCAAGTGACTCACCTGCTTTCTTCCTCTGCAGTGTTAGTTGAGCACCTACTCATGACTTTACATAAGTGATTTGTGAATTGCACTTTCTAGTCCAGAGCTCACAGCATAACTCAGACACCTCTATGCAGTGTCTCCAGGACTCACCACACAATGTGCCAAAGGGGCCTCATTCTGGCTTTCCTTGATAAAGCCCTGGATTTCTCCTCCACTTCCTATCTTGGCTCCTGGCCTCACTAATCCACTGTGCCCCCATTTGCCAAACTAGAAACCTCGCCACAAACCCAAATTTCTGGTTCCTTCTCTCCTACATTTGACCTTTATCAGCTACTAGTGGTCTCCTGGGAGGTCTTCTCTTTAGATCCTGCACCCTGAGGGTCTCCCCAAGGTGCCCTGGCTTAACTGAGCAGCGAGTTTTCAGTCTAATCCCTCCTGGCCTCTCCATGTCCTGCCTGAACTAATGCAGTAGCCTCTTAGGTAACCAGGGAGCCCACCATCCTGATCCCACTGCCACCCCCAGCTCCAAATCCTTGTATGTGGCTCCATTTACAAACAGCCATCTTTTACTCCATGCCTTCTCCCCTGCTGGGAACTGTCTTTGCAAACTTCTTCGGCCTCAGTCTTTGCTTACAAATTCTGCTTCACAATCACTTTCCATGGATTTGGCTTTCTTAGCCTAGTGTGTTTCTTTTACTGTGAAAATGTCACTTTTCCAAGGTCAGGGTAGACACTGCAAAAAGATGTCCTTGGCTCCCGAGTGCCCGGCTAGTCCAGAGCCCTGTGTAGAAATCATGGCCTGAGGCGGAAGTCTGAATCGCCAGCCCGGACTTGAGACCTCTGCTACCTGGTACAGGTGATTAGTTGCTTTCTCTACACGTCCTGTTACCCTGCGTCCTCAGTGCCACACTCCTCCCTGCAAATGCCACTCACAGCCAGTTTCTGCCGGAGCCCCAAGGGTTCATCCCAGGCCCCTGGCTTTGTTCTCTCGCAGCCCTTGGGCTACCATGTTCCCTCCAGGCCACAGCGCCTGTCAGAGCCCTGCCCTCCAGCACCTCTGAGCTTCCCCCCATGAACCTGCCCTCGGCTTGCTCCTGTGTGGCCACCTCTCCCCACCATGTCTCTTACAGTGAGACCACGGAGGAGGCCTGTGTCTGCAGCCCTCACTGACAACTCAAGAACTGCTAATGGAATTGAGCTACTTTTGCTTTATAAACAAGTCCGTTGAAGCTCGGAGTGCCCAGGTGTCCACTGGAAGGCACAGGGCAGGACTCACATCCAGGCCGGTCTGACTGCAGACATGGCGGTTGTGACTTCTGCTGCTCAAGGTCAGCTTTCTGCCTGAGCCCGGAGGGGGCGCTGGTGAGATTTCCAAACTGTGCTGTGCTCAGGAAGGATTGTGGAAGGGGGCGGGCAGACAAGCTAACACCTATTAGTGTGGCTAGATGTCACAAAAGCAACGCTGTAGAAAGGACGCGATCGAACCCTACATCAATAGGAGGGACACGATGCCAACCATAAAGGCTCTCTGTCCCCGAAGGGACCAGTGCTAACCAGCACACGCAAACACCGGCAGGGCTGCTGGGAGCGGAGACAGAGTACTTGGCAATAACCGCATCATGTTTGCAGGGGAGAAGGATCAGAGAAGGATCACAGTGTTAGGAGCCTGTGCCTGCGTAATAAGGCCACACTGCTTGACTTTGCGCTGAAACAGACACTCCTGGGCTTCCCTTCAACTGGAAATGACCACGGTCTGGCAAGGGGGAGAAGCATGCACCAAGCCCAGGGACAAACCAGAGACCGGTTCTGCGGGGCCAAGACCTGCGCCCCGCAGCTCGAGCCAGCCCTGTGACGCCGCTAGAGGGCGCTGACGCCCCGGTCCTCTGCAGACAACCCCCAGTGGGTTGTCTCTGGGTAGAGCACAGCTCTGGGGCATCTGGCCGCGGCCACCGGGCACCCTGGATGAAGACAGTGCTTGGGCAGCTGTCAGCTCCCGTCCGCATTTGCCGCTTTACCGTGTTCAGTGCAGCGATTACCACTCTCGCCCCCTGTTTTAAGAAGCCCACCTTGATTAAAGGTGGCAGGATGATGAACAAGCTGTCTCTCCCCGTGTCCGTCTCGTAGATCCTGTTCGGAGCCCCCAAACTCCACTCAGGATAGTGTTAAAACCCTGCTACTACTCAGGAATGATGGAACACACCTGCAATCCCAGCACTCTGGGAGGAAGCTGAGGCAGGAGGGTTGCAAGTTCAAGCCCAGCCTGGGAAATTTAGTGACCTAACCAGACCATGTCTCGAAACAAAATAAAAAAGAAAGAAAGAAAGAAAGAAAGAAAGAAAGAAAGAAAGAAAGAAAGAGCTGGAGGAGTAGCTCAGTGTGAAGGTCCTGGGTTCAATGCTCAGGACTCTGAAATGAAATGAAACAAACAAGACAAAACGAAGCACCCCTGTTACTGCTTCCAAGCAGCCTTCATTCTCTCCTTTCCCACAGGTTGAGTGGTCAGTGTCCCCTGCTCTAGTCCTGTCATCAAGTCCTGCCCCACCCCCTGTGCATTAGAAGCAGTATCAAAACCACTGTGCCTGTCTCCCTCCTCAGGCCGAGGGTCCCTGAACCGGCACAGGGCCGGGCACTCGTGCCACCCTGAGTGCACACTGGCAGAGCAATCCAGCCAATGGGCAGAGGCTTGCTCCGTGTTTTCATTGGCAGATATCAGTGCCCCAGGGGCACAGGCCCAGAGTTTTCAGCGGCTGTTCCAAGGCACTTGTAACCATCCAGATGCTGACCGTACACTCTAAGGCACTTTATGCCTCTGTGTTTCCAGAGCTGTTGAGCTTACTCGGTGACTAACTCACTAAGATCATGAGCACCTCTGTGCCACCCTGTTCCGGTATGGTCTTCCCTGAATGCTCCCAAGATCCTCCAGCCCAGGAGCGGTACAAACTGGTGCCACCGCCACACACTCACCCTTGACAGAGCCTGTCTGGCCAGCACCTCAAAGGCTTGTGCTACGTTGATGTCGTTCTTGGCACTGACTTCAAAGTAGGAAATGTCCTTTTCTTCACACCAGCCTTGGGCCATCTCCGGGGGCACCTGGGGGTGGGGAGGGGAATCATCACTGCTCCATTGCCAGCATGATCACTGGTGTGGCTCCAGTGTGCTCGGCCCCCCTCCCTCATGTTGAAATTGGTCCCCAGTGTGACAGTGCTAAGAGATGTTGCGGCTTGGAGAGGTGAGGAGGTGGTAAAGCTGGGCGAACCCTGTGTCCAGGGAGTGTGTTCTTGCTCTTGCAGGACTGGACTGGCTGCTGTGAGGGTGAGCCCTGGCACATGCCCCTCACCTTTGCCCCTTCTCTGAGCTCCTGACTGTCCTTTCTCTTTACTCCATGAGTTGAGGAAGCATGAGGCTCTCATGTTTCCCAGCCTCCAGAACCATGAGCCCAATCAAACCTCTATTCTTTACAAGTTATTTAGTGTCAGGTATTTTGTTACAGAAACAAATGGACCAGGGCATCACTCCTCCCATCACTCCCATCACCACCACTGCTCATTTCATGAGAACCTTCCACATTTAACATGATGCATGTTCTCCTTTAAATCCTCACTACATGTCCACTTTGTAAGCATTACCTCAATTTAATTAAGGGAACCAAAGTTTTTCTGCTGGAGAAAGGTTCATTCTCCCACGACACATTACAGGCTGGGGGAGATCAAGGACTGCCCCTCAACATGTTGCTTCCATTGCTGCCACAGGTTCTAGAAATACTGGTCTCACTGGCATTAAAAAGTGCCATGCCATACTAGCAACAAACTGCTGTAACTGCTATAACTGACTCGAGCTTTCAATACATAGACACACACCCAGACACACAGACACACACAGACACAGACACACACAGACACAGACATACACAGACACAGACACACAGACACACACACATCAGTAGAAACATGAGAAAACAAGGCAATAATAATGCAGCCCAAAACTCCTAACTGCCCAAAGCTGATCTGTGGGGCACCAGTGGAAAGAAAACCAAAAGCTGAGAGACTGTATTACGTAAAGTGATAAGGAGAGACGGCAAAACAAGCAAAGAAAAGCAACAGATTAAGAAGGTGCTTAGGGAGCTCAAGGACGATATAACTAAACAGATACTAGACTTAATAAGTGAAATGATTAGTGACCTCTCACAAGGCACTAATAAAAAGCTAGTTGAGAGCTTATTATTCCACCCTCTTGGTAAGTGCCCCTGGCGTGGGCCAGGAGGAGAACCAGCGGCTCCTGTGAGCCTACCGGTGTGCGGGCTGAGAATCAAACTCTTTCCCCTCCCCGCATAGTTACTGGGGATAGATATCTCAGCATCTCGTGGGAGATGACCATATGCAATATAGCAAATATGGGGGATTTCCTTCTGTCTTCTGTTTGAAGGCAAAGGTTGTTTTCAGTATTTTTTTTGTTATGTTTCTTATACTGTCTTCAATACTCTCAATTGGTTTTATAATGCTCTGTTTTTGGTTTGATTTCGCTATACCTAATTGACTGGACAACTATTGTGAAGATAACGAGATATCCTATAGTACCTATTACTACCATCCCAGTATCCTACTGTGAAATCCTGTACCAATTTCACTGCATTGTCTCCGTTGGCTTTGTTCTGTCTTGTTCTGTTGTATTTTTACTACTTTCAAAATAAAATTTAAAAATGCTAGTGGAGATAAATGTCTATAATGCATAAGTGACCGGCCTGGCAAAGAATTAAGAATCCACAAAAAGGTTGCAAACAGAAAACCAGGAAAACAAGTCTATTAAAATATGGGCAGCAGAAGAGGCCAATTTGAGTATATAGAAATAGAAGATAGAACTGATGCAGGTGACCATATAGTCAGAGATATATTATGGTTTTTTCTTTTTATTTTTTAGTTTTTTGGGACAGGATCTCATCGTGTAGTTCAGACTGATCTTGAACTCATTATGTAGCTCAGGCTGGCCTTGAACTCACAGCAATCCTCTTGCCTCAGTCTCCAAAATGCTGGGATTACAGGAGTGGGCCATCATGCCTGGCCTCAGAGATACTTTAAGAACAGAAGAATACAGAAAATGGACCCAACAGCTGCTACATAATGCAAAGAAAATTAATCTAAAATTAATTAGAATTAGTGGAAAATCAGAAGACAGCACAAATGGCATAAAAACCCCTTACTTACAGAAATAATAGCAGAACAATTGCCAAGAATAGGGAAAAACTTTAACATGGAAGGTAAGCAAGGCATATAGAACCCCAAATAGCCACACACAGAAAAGGGCTTCTCTGTGACACATCATAGTCAAAATTCTGCAAGTCCAACACAAAGACAGAATCTTGAAAGCTGCTAGAGAAAAACAAGTCATGTATAAAGTTAAGCCCAGTAGAATTACAGCGGACTTCTCTACACAAACCTTGATGACTAGGAAAGCGAGTGGGGTGTTTGAGCCTTAGAAGAAAACAACTCTCATCCCAGACTACACTATCCTACAAACTATCTCTCAAAGTTGATGGAGAAATAAGGTCTTTCCAGAGAGCATTTTAAGAAATTCATGACCACCAAATCAGTGCACCAAAGAGTTCTCCAAGATATCCTTGAGAGACAACAAAACCAACAATGCCAAAAAGTCTAAGGGAATGAATACAGCAGGCACAGTTAAGCAGATGAGGAAAAAATGAGTCAGAACAGGAAAATAATGTAATGAAGGAAATAGGTCAATGTGTTTCAGTAATAACTCACAGTGTGAATAGCCTCAACTCCTCAGTCATGTGATGTAGTTGGCACATAGGATAAATTATATACTATAAGAAAAGAATACATTTTATCCAAAAAGAAATTCACAGACTAAAAATCAAAGGATGGGAACAAATTCTATGTAATGGAAACCCCAAAACCAGCTATTCTATTTTCAGGCAAAGTGGACTTCAAGCCAAAACTGATTAGAAGAGGCAAAGGCAGTCACAACATACTGGTTAAGGGAGCAATTCAACAGAAGAGATAACAATTATAAGTAAGTGTGCACCCAAACACTGGTGCACTGTTATGGCTTGCTTAAATGTCTCCCCCAAGCCTCATGCAGTCATGAAGGCAGCTGAGTCTAGCGTTTGTGATTGGTTCATTGTCTAATGCTGGGACTGGTGATGTGAGGACCATACCCGCCCAGGTGCTGCGGCCCTGCCATGCCACCCTGCCTTGGAGCCAGCTGAGTATGGACTGAAACCTCTAAAAACTGTAAGCTAAATAAACCTTTCCCTGGCCCTGAATCAAGGCCGGCAGCTTTCTGATGCTGTTGGTTTCAAGTAGGAGCCTAAAGAGATGTCTTTCTATGGTTTGTTGGTCAATTCAGAACACGGACAGTGAAATGATCAATTCATTAGAAAGAAACAGCTTGAAGCAACCTCCCGCCCGCAGTGAGCGGCTGTGAACATGGCAAGCTGTGGTAGCCCAGGACAGGAGTCACCGACATTTATTGGGACCCCAGCCATGCTGGGACCTGGAGCGCTGGGGAAATCAAGCAATCCCTCCCCCTTGGTGAGCGGCTGTGAGTGTGGCAGTCTCTGGAGGCCTAGGATGGGAGATACCTGCATTTACTGGAACCTGGGCCATGCTGGGAGCTGGAGTGCTGGGAAATCAAGCAACCCCTCCCCGCCTGCCTATTTTGTTTTGTTGAACCTCAATATACATGAAAGTATGGACAGCTATTTTGAAGAGAATGAGAGACTCTACAACAGCCATTAGTGACTTCCCTATTGCCTGGTTTTGAAGACTTAAAATGCCTTCCTCATTCATTTGGATCAGTTTTATACTATGTTGTTTTGTATGAAATCTCTATATGTGAAGACATGGACAACTATTTGGAAGAAAACAAGAGACAATATGATAGTGAAGATCTCAGGTCATCTAGCTTTGAAATTTATATCTTTTACATTGCTTTCTTATGTTCTATTTTGTTCTGTCTTGTGGTCTTTAATTTTAGCCCCTTTAAAATAAAAATAAAAATTAAAAAAAAATCTTTTCTTCCTTCATTTTGGGTGTCAGGTATTTTGTCTCAACAATGAGAGAAAAGTAACCCAGACAAGCACCAGCTTCATAAAATAAATACTGTTGGACATACAAGATGAGATAAACATCAACATAATTAGCGTAGAGGACCTCAACATCACAAATACACAGATCAACTAGACAAAAAACAAAAACAACAAAGAAATATTAGAGTTGAACCACATCTCTGAACAGATACACTTAACATATATTTATAGAATGTTCCACTCAACAGCATACACATTCTACTCAGAAGCACATAGAACTTCCTCCAAAACAGACCACCTGCTAGCTCATAAAGTGTGCTTAAATAAATGCAAAAGAATTACAATTATTGCACAAATATTATCAGTTAGTGCAATAAAACCAGGAAATCAATAGCAAAAGAAACCACAGAAATTATGCAAAGACATGAAGATTAAACAATACACTCTTGAATAACCAAAAGGTCATAGAGGAAGTCAAGGAAGAAATTAGACAGTTCTTAGAGTCAAACAAAAATGCCAGTACAACGTACTAAAGCCTATGAGGCACAGTGAAAATACCAAGAGGAAAGTTTATAGCTGTGAATGCGCCAATCAGAATGATCTTAAGTAAATAACATAAAAGTGCACCTAAAGACCCAGAAAAACAAGAACAGTCCAAATTCAAAATAGATACAATTAAATTATAGAGGTCAGAGTAAAAATTAATAAAATTGAGACTAAAAGAACTCTACAAAGAATCAATGAATAAAAGAAATGATTCTTTGAAGACTAAACAACATAGACAAATTATCTGTCAATCTTACCAAAAAAGGGAAAGAAAAAATCTATGTCAGTTCAATTAGACATGGAAAAGACTTAAAAAGATAAATGGAAAAGGTGAAATCATAATGTATACTACCAAAATCTAGAAGGTTATTAGTAACTACTTTGAGAAGCTATACTCCAATAAACTGGAAAATCCAGAAAATATGGAAAAATTCCTAGATACATATGAACTAAAAGTTGGAACCAAAAACATTAAAAATCCTGAGCTATTCATTAATAG